AAGAATATGGCGAAAGAATTTATGTGCAGAAGCAATCGTCATATCTTGAGATGAGCCTGTTTTATGAAAATGCAAGGATTATTGTTTTAGAAATACATTTTGACTGCATCACAAAGGCATGGTACAATTGCAGATGAAAGATATTTTAATTGACACTGACAACTATTTTCATAAGTATCTCTTAACTGCCATATATTTTTGTTTGGAAAATGATATCGATTTTAAAAATAGTATTACAATTTCAATAAAATAACGCTCGTCAACTCACTTCAGTTAAACAGAGAAAAACACAGGATTACTCCGAGAAAAAGACGTTTATAACATTAAATACTCACTGCTGTCTCTTAGAGGACAGAGAAATCTTAGATAAGTTCTTCGCCTTTGATCTCACTCTCCTGTTGGACGTTTACCCAGCAGGTCTGTCGTAAACTGTCGATCAACTGCGTCGTGAGCGGCCTCTTCATCCAAAAACGTTTTTGTGTTTTCGGGATGGTGTGATCGGTGACACGTTTGCAGTTGTCCACCACGTTCTGGTCATTTAGATTACACTACACAGAAAGTATTTATTATTTGCGTTAGAAATTTCATTTGAACCATTTGTAAGATAACTGAAACGGCATAGTGTTACTCATTTGTGGATTTTTAAAGATCATTGAAAACCTATTTTTATAGTGCGCAAACACTTTGGAGCCTATAATTAGATCGTGTCCATTGTTAGCCATTGGCCCTAAAGTGTTGCGTTCCATTGGTTAGTATTGTTTATCGTGGTTCATTTGACTCTTTCTTTGATTGTATTCATTCTCCCCTGAAGCGACATAATTTACTGATAACAATCTTCATGTGATTAGAAATATGGACAAGACTAATTCTAACGAACATTAAGTGCATAATCATCGTATATTGCACTATAGGCTTTTAGCATATAGCCATAGCATGATGACTATGTTTGCAAGTTGTCTTTGGATGTTTACATCAGCATTACCTTTGATATTAATATCAATATTTTCCGTACCCGCTCATCGGTGATTGATCTGACCGTACGCCGGTAGTCGTCATCAACGTATAAAACTAACGAATACTCATGAGCGCATATTCCCTCTTATCCCTTCTTCTTGCGAATAAACCTTGAACAAATCGAACATCCACGTAATTGTCTAGTCGTGATGTGGCCTGCCCATTTTGTTTACAGACGAAAAGACACCTGTTGCTTTTACGTAACCCTAGAAGGTTGAAATCGCAGGTGACAACAAAACAGCCTTTGGTCTCCTATTCCCGTGCCGATGGTAACAAGAGACGAAGTGACTGCAGCACGCATCACGGGGTCAATAAAGCATTTAGGTCTCTTGACAAAGTAGTCGTCGCTGCTCTCAGCCCATGTATTGACAACCTCAGGTACAAAGTGTAGGAGGGGGGTAGGCCGCTGCCTATCCTTTTATGTAACCGCAACCGCCTCTGTCTTTCTAAAAGGTGGGTCAGATAATGCAGAGAAGGCTTACACTACCGCTATCCATAGATTTAGTAATTCTTTATTCACGTTAGAATAACAAAGACCTCAACCAGTACGGAAAATGGATGATTAGATGTTACTGAGAGAATAGAAGATGAAGTAAAGGCTGAAGGGAAAACGAGAGAGAGAGAGAGAGAGAGAGAGAGAGAGAGAGAGAGAGAGAGAGAGAGAGAGAGAGAGAGAGAGAGAGAGAGAGAGAGAGAGAGAGAGAGACAGAGAGAGAGAGAGAGAGAGCGAGCGTCACCACACGACTGGATATGATTGACGTAGGAGTGACGCACTTCGGCCGACACACACGACGCGCAACGAATCCCAACTTGTCGACATTCAGTTCGCATCAACATTTTGCTTGATGCCTGTCCACAATAAATATGGATATTATGGTCAGGGTGATCAATAATGAATATGACGAGGAAACTGGTATGGAGCATTAATTATTTATTGGACCTGGAATAATGTCTATTTTTAGAAGGAAGGTATGAGCTCTAGTGCGTCATATTTAATGTCTATTCCCTGTGATTTACTAGAAAAAGAATTAGCAAATTGGTTGCTTGATCAACACCAGCTTTCAAAATCGTTTCGTAATGAAATATAATTGCCTCCGAACAGACACGCGTACGAGCACCCACTTCTCTCATCATACATTTATACGTACGTATGTTATAGATAAAAAACCCACACGAACACACACACACACACACACACACACACACACACACACAGTCGAACGCACGTGTATATATATTTTATTGTTTATCTATGTGCCAGAAGGCAGTCACATATATGTTCGTATCGTAGTATTTCAATATATGCGTTGGAATTTCTGTGTTAATATTAGTTTATTTGAATGCGTACATATTTGTGCATATTTGTGCACATGTGAATGTGTTTGAATGCGTGACTGTACATATACATATGTGTGCGTGTTTGATTGCGTGCATTTTCAAATCAAATCTGTGTTAGACTGTATATATGCGTTTAAATATGTCAGAGAGAGAGAGAGAGAGACACACACACACAGTCGAACGCACGTGTATATATATTTTATTGTTTATCTATGTGCCAGAAGGCAGTCACATATATGTTCGTATCGTAGTATTTCAATATATGCGTTGGAATTTCTGTGTTAATATTAGTTTATTTGAATGCGTACATATTTGTGCATATTTGTGCACATGTGAATGTGTTTGAATGCGTGACTGTACATATACATATGTGTGCGTGTTTGATTGCGTGCATTTTCAAATCTGTGTTAGACTGTATATATGCGTTTAAATATGTCAGAGAGAGAGAGAGAGAG